TGGTAATAAAATTGTATTAACCCGCCGAAATCTGTCATAATTTGACCAGGGTACAAAATCTCTAATTAGCGCATAATCATGGCAATGATAATAGACAATGCACAGATACAAACAGTGTCCGTAAAGCGGGGTTGACGATGTATAAGAGTTTGTCGCTCGGGACACAGAAAAGTGTCCGTTGTCCGTATTAACGGGTGTCCGTAATAAGCGGGTTAATTTTAGAAAAAACATTTGAGCTTTTCGTCGGGGAAAACGAAACTGCCCGTAATATCGGGGTATCCGTATTAAGCGGGTGTCCGTAGAGCGGGGTTCCACTGTATTTACATGTCACGCATACAGAGATTCCTGTTATTTTTCGCTTCTAGGTAAATAAGTAGCTTACTTGCGGAATGCATGCTCCGATACTGATTTTAGTCTGCGTAGAACAAATGATTTGAAAGCGTTACATTGCAGTTTGCTATCTCTTTCGGTGTTATAATTTTTTTCGCTCCCGTCACTCTTTCCGAAACTCGGTTTTAGATTGGAAAAATTTTTGAACGAAGATTTCGCATTTTGTTATATATTTTGCTGTTAGGTTAATGTCATATTATAACATAAGCCGAGAAATTTCGGAGATTTGATTGGTTGATAGTATCACTATTTCCGCGTAATAGTGGTATAACAGCTAAAATGGATGGTATAACAAGGTTTCCATGGCAACAATGAACACAATTACGTTTTTGCTTTTGTTTTCAAAAAAATGGCGGCAAGATTCCCGGAAATTTCCGGTGAGGAAATACAAAAGCTCGCCGAAAAAGCAGTAAACAAAAATACAGTCAAAACTACTAAGACATGGATGAATGTTTGGAAGTCGTGGGTAGAAAGCAAGGGCCTTAACGACGACATTGTCAAATACGAAGCTAAAGAACTGGCTGAATGCCTCTCGCGATTGTTTTCCGAAATTCGCAAAAGCGATGGCTCTGACTATGAGCCGGATAGCCTTAGGGTTTTGTTAGCTGCCCTCGACAGACACCTCAAACAAAATGACAGCTAAATATCCATAGCAAAGGACCGAGAATTCGTCAAGTGCAGACAGGTCCTAGAGCGAAAAGCAAGAGCTCTTCGCGAAAAAGGACAAGGAAAACGACCAAATGTAACAAAAGGACCCGAAAGCACTTACGAGGAAGGTGACGAAGCAGAACAGCTAGAGATCCATCATCTGCTCTCTTGTCGGTCAACAGGTTCAGAATTCCCGTCCAGTTCTTTCCAGTTTGCCCATTCAGCATAACCGTACAGCGACGCCAGCCTGCCAAACAGTAGTCCACCACTTTCATGGCTGTCAGGTGACGATTAATTACGGAGCTGGCGTTGGTGTTTTTCAACAAAGCAGCTGGGAGAAGCTTGCCCCTACCTTGTCTTAATCTGTGGTTTCGCTTCACCGCTGCAGTGACTGCAAAAACCGTGATTTGAAAACAACTTTCATTGAGCTATTCCATGTTGTTTGCCTACAATGGTTTGTACTGGTTTTACAAAATACTGTCAATCATTTTTTGTCATTGACGAAAAAAGATTGTTACGAATGCAGACGCCCGTGTTTGTTTTTGTTAACCGTAACAAAATAAAGGTCTCTTGTGCGTTACCGGAAATTTCTCGGCTTCTATTATAAACAAATGGCTATCTTTAAAACGAGGAACGGGGAATCGGTGAATGGGAATGGGGAACGGGGAACGGGGAACGGGGAATCTTTAAAATGAGGAATCTTTAAAATGGGGAATCTTTAAAATGGGGAATCTTTAAAA